TCATTTATTGAATGCAACTTAGTCCTACCAACTGCGGTAAACTTACCCAGACATGTAGTAACTAATGTGGGCAGCAGCAAACTACTTCCAAAGTACATAGGCCCCTTTCGTGTGCTGCGCCGAAAGGCAACGCATACACGATCGAGATGCCACTTACGATGCGCACGCATCGTACGTTGTATATGGGGCGTCTCCGCTCGTACTGTCAGTGCGAGACCTCTTCCGACGATGAAGATACCCCACATTCAAGAACTTCCATTAGGTTCATGCGCTCGAGCTCCAGAAGATCAGTCTGGACGCTTTACGAAACGACCTCTCAACGCAGTTTAGATATATCTCTACGAGCTTTCCCCAGCTTTTTAACGAGGGAACGGACATCGCGCTCAACCTGAAGTTGGTCGAGGGCGTAATCGGCATGATTCTTCGCCCGACCAGCCTTCCGATCCTTGCGGTGTTGTCGCACACATTGTTCAGAGCATAGCGCATGTCCCGCTCGTGATCCAAATACTTGCTCAATCGACCAATTGCGCGATCCATCTCGTATTGGTCGAGATGGTGATTCAAACGACATAAAGAAGGTTATTCCTCCTCCTTCATATCCCTTGGTGGACTCACACGATCGTCAACGATTCCTTGCGGAGCGTATCTTGACCCAGCGTGACGATTAGGATCAAGGACGAGTTACCTCGTCCAGTAGCGGGGGTATCCACTCTCGTGGAACAGCTGGGAGCCCCGCTCCCAGATGATGAGGGATTCGCCCGGTCTCGTCGAGCAGTACGATATGCTCCACACTTTGGAGGAGGACCATCGTCGAATGAACTCCCGGCGCGTTTGTAAAGGGATTGTAAATTCTCAATCTCTTCGTACATCAAGAGATAGATACGCGCCATATAGTAGGGTTGATTATGGAGGAAGGACTCCCTAGAGTCGCGAACAGAGTTTTCAATACAATTCTGAAATTTCTCTCCCCACGGATGGTAAGGTAAACCTGCCTCTCGAGACAATTGGTGCAATTTCAACCGAGCACCGATTATGGACTTGTGTTCAAACTTATTGCGAGCTGTAGTAATTTTTTCCAACCAAGTGTCACGGCCAACATTCTCAATGTTGCCGATGAAAGAATTTCACGCCTATGTAATCGAGAATTCGTCTCATTTGTAATTACCGTGGTACCATCGATGTATGAAAAAGATATCGATGTATAAATAATGATCAGCGTAATAATTTCTCGCGCTGGGATCAAGTCCATGGATCCTTGACGAGTCAAGGAGTGGGATCCGACAACCTCTAGTAAAGAAACCATATCACTGTCTTAACTTGCTCAAGGTAGGCATCCATGGATTTTTCTCACGAGCAGATCGCAACGCGTTGCTATCCTGCTCCTTCTGCGTGGTGTCAACATGAGAGCGAGCACCACGATCGCCGCAATACGTAGGTTTGCTGCGGCTATGGCTACGATGACTCCGCGAAGAGTCATCGACATTTACATGAGGACGTAAGTCCTCATGTATCGCACTCGCCTCGTACGGATACGAGCGAGATCAGTTCGATACCGGCGACGAGTTCACAGACTCGTCGGATGAACCGAACATCTCATGGCGCAAGTCCTTATCGAGACTGCCGCGAGGCGCAGCAGTCGTCGGTTCAGCAACCTTACGGTCGGGCTCTACGCACGGTTTGAGTCGGATGGAGGCTCCGACTCGCCCGAATAGACCACCTCTATTTCGGGATCTTAGTCCATGGGACTACCTCCCGCAGCCGAAGCTGCGGGTGAAGGAGAAGCTCGTGGATGACCACGTGCTCCTGCAACTACGAGAGTTGCAGGCTTCTTACTGGCAGCAGCAGGTGACTTGACACCTGCTGCTGAGTCTTGGACAGCTTGTTCTCCGGCTGCATACACCCGTGCAGCCGCCTTACGGCGGCCTTGTTGCTTCAGCGTATGGACGAACACGTCATGCGCTGAAAGGCTGAATGCGTTGGGCAGAATCAACAAGTGCTCCCTTTCCCACAGAGAGTACCAACGGTGGTCACTCTGTCACCAATCAATCAATCACTCACTGTAGTGACTGATAGTTAGGGGGTGATGCAACGGGGTGAGCCCGTTACATAAAACAATCGATATCTTTGTATCAATTTTTGAACATTATGTATATATAGATAACGTTCGATTGACATTACTCGTAAGGAGTAAGGTTCAAGGAATATTACCCCCGAGGGTAATATTTCTTTGATGGCTTGCTCCACCTGATGGTTGTGTTCACGGTACATCAACCAGATTAACCACCAATCGCTGCTGGACGCGCGCAATGGGTAATGAGCAATACACCCACATAGGAGATTGTAGTTTAATTTAGTTAGCTCAAGACAAAATTTGTATATCAAGAGACATAACTATATTAAATACAGTTCTACTTTTCCCTTAGACAGCGCTTTCGAGTTCTGCCTACTTCGCTGCGCTTCCTCACGCCACGTGTACGTGACGTCGGGTGCACACAACCTTGTGTTGAATTGATACAAAGCGTGCCCCGTTACCTTACCCTCACCTTTGGACGTCTGAATTCAATGAATGTCCTGTCACTCCACAGCGCGACAAATCGGTCTAGCTCTCGGTCTCTTTCGTCGGTTAGTGCAGACTCAGTTTCAGTATTTTTACATGACAAGCACAACAAGTATCGCATGTAGTCCAAAAGTCATAGACAGAACTTGCAAGCTTTCCTGCCACATCGAGCGTCGTAGGGAAGTTTTCTAGCTAAGGGCTGGAGTAATAGAGTTTCTGCTCTAGGACACCTCTTACTTTGTGAACCAGGATGTCCGCTTTCCAACTTTTTGCAAAAATTGTCTGCCAGGTACCATTTGCCACAAGTTGTTGTGCGCAAGTGATAGGCCAGCCCAACATTGATGATCAAGTGCGATTGTGACGTTCACGTTCGCTTGTTCGGAGACAAACCGATTCTCGACAGCACCAAAGCATCCCTATATTTGCGGGTACTGCTGCAATCGATGGAGTCTCAAGGTCAGCTGTTACTGCCATCACGATTGATTCGGGTACTGTCTCGACGTGTAGTGCTTCGTATGCCCCTAAAAGAAACAATCGTGCAGGCACGACAGAAGTGACTTTGCAGTCCACTAACGGAAGGACTTATAACGTCATGACAGTGCCACAGGTGCCAACTTTGCCCACTTGATCGGGGCTCATTATCGCTAGCTTGTGGCGAAGCTAGAAGCTATTGTCATCACTTCTGCCACCTCATTCAAGCCTCTGACAATCAAGTACAAATACCGATACGACAATGATAACTGTGTTTTCACAAGCAGCACGCACGACATTCCTTGTGTCGTGGCCAAGCTACGTCAATGTAGAGTAGAACTCTATCATCACTACAACAGCATCAAACACATGTGCACGTATCGTTTCAAGTTCGGTCTTCAGTGTGCAATAGAAGTTCAAGCAAGCGACAATCACCTTCTGTGTTCGGTAGATGTACGGCGGAATGATCATGCTCCGTTGAAGATCGCCAGTTTGGACACGAGAGACGGGTCCGCCACTGCCGAGGTGGCTTGCCAACGTGAGGTTATCGTCATTGACTGGTTGACAACGTAGAACTTAATCCCTTATTGGACTGAACCTCCTGTTGCACTCACTCTGGCATAAAGGTCGCAACTTTGCGGATGGCATGATGCGACCTTTATGCCAGAGCAGAATTGCTGGTAGCCTACTGCGAAGCAGTGTTCCCACTCGCTGCAGCCCAAACTGTAGCCTACTGCGAAGGCTCATGCTACCAGCAATTCTCGTATGTTCTCGCTGGCTGGCTCTGCTAGCAACTCATATGACCGACCACATGATCGGAAGCAAGCGAGTAGCCAAGTCTACCTCCTGGAAAAGGCTGTCATCATTATAGCACATCAAGGTAAGCGCAAAGGAGACTGGGGCGCTCGTTTCGTGCTCACGATGTTCGGCGGCGGTCGACACCTTTCGCGTTTGTGGATATTTCTGCGTTCGGGCATGGCAGAAACTGCCAGCAAGTCGGTTATAACGACGCCACCAATCAGCATCGTAGCTAAATGTTCGGGTAGTAACTACTACTACCAGTTGCTATTCTGCAGACTGCGCGAATACCTTCGAAACGAAAGCATGCATGTTATGCTGCACGAATGCTGCAATCTTCTGTATGCGACGACGCTCTCGTTCCCTACTTAACCAAGCAAAGACCGTCCAGCTCGAAGTTGTTCACGTTCCGCCCGGTGAATGCTGTACACATTGCGGTGAACCGCAGCAACGCACATCGATGTGCGTGTCACTACATTTGCAGTAGCGTATACAGCTAAACTGACAGCCTGTTTCCCGACATGCGCGCACATGTTTGCGGTTGGGCCCTGGACCACGCGCAGGTCTTGTTTTTTAGTGCTGATACAAGAGCGGACAAGGGTAAAACCTTGGCTGATATGTTCATGAAGTTCCCCGTCGCCCTACTGATTTGGCATAGTCAATCGTATCCCGTTGTATCATAGTCGACGACCAGACGGGACTCTTGCAGTCTGCTGTAGCATTCTTCTTCGGCAAGAAACGTCATGGATTTTGCAGTTGCTGCGAGTATGTTCGAAGCGTAGGGAACAATACCTCTTGAGACTGACCGTTCCGAAAACCAGTTTCTACATACTGCGTTTTGTACCGTCGATAGCCAATCAGAACCATTTAAGTCAACAGCTTTGCTTTTCTATCAGAGCAAAAAGCGAGCGCTTGCTGACAAAAAGAGTCGCTGTTACGGTCGTCGAGTGGGCGGCACCCTTTTTTCTCTTGATACAACTAGTGCTTTTTGCCGACAGTAAACGACTTGACCAGCGCTATCGAAAAAGCTGCGGGTCGGTTTCCGCGCCGTTTATTGGTCAATTTCTCGTCGCGTTGCCCAACGGGTCCAACCGCTTCCACTCGCGCTCTTCTGCCCACCAGCCACCAGTCCCCAGGCGCGTACAGTCACTCTCCCGCTGCCACTGCTGCTGCGATGCTCCTCGCACCGCTACGTCCATCGACAGTGGCGTCAACAGTCTCATTGGCCACGTTCAGGGATTCGACAGCGGCAAAAGGGCCGCAACGCGGTACACAGGCGGACCGAACCGACACGAAGAGCGCAGCCAATGGCGCACTTCCGTTCCAAGCGCAGTGCAAATCGGCCACTGCGTTAGTGGCCGACCGTCGCATTGAGTTCATTCGGGCCAAGAACGTGCACGTGATTGGCCGATTGAGCAGCACCGCCTGTGAAAAACACAACAAGAAAACGAACGAGGTACTGCAACTTACCGACATGGCGGCCGTGGAGAAAGGGCTGGTCTGGCACCAGGCCAAGAAGATCGGACCGGGGCTGGCGAATCTCGGCAACACGTGTTACCTCAACTCGGTGTTGCAGTGTCTGACCTACACGCCGTGTTTTGCTCAATTTCTATTGGACAAGCGCGTGTTTGCGTCCTTCAATGGCGGTAGTCTCCCTTCCACTAGTGGTCACGACCCGTCGAAGGGGACCAGCAGCAACCCTTTGTACAAAAGCGGGTACGTCAGTAGCCACTCGAACGGCCCGTTCTGCAGCGTCCGTGCTATGTCGAGACTCGTGCAGCTCGTACATGGCCCGGCCTCCGTGCGCGTGTTGCAGCCCAAAGAACTCGTCATGAACGTTCGTCACATTTCGAAACGGTTCCGTATTGGGCGACAAGAAGACTCGCACGAGTTTTTCCGCCTGCTGTTGGATTCCATGCAGGTGTCGTGTCTTCGGAAAGCGCATATTAAAAGTGAGACACACGTCGCTGCATCGACCTCATTTGTGCACCGAATATTTGGCGGTAAGCTCAAAAGTTCCCTCAAGTGTGCCAAATGTGGGTACGTGTCGGAACGCGTGGACGACTTTTTGGACCTGTCGCTTGAACTGTCGAACGGCGTGCACAGTGTGCAGGGCGCGCTGCGCCATTTCACAGCCGTCGAGAAACTCGACACTTGCAATGCGTGGAAATGCTCGAGTTGTGGGAAACGCAGTTGCGCCGAGAAGGGACTGACGATTGCGGCGTGTCCGAATGTACTGGTCATTCAGTTGAAGCGGTTTGACCTGATGTGTGGAAAAATCAAGCGGCACATCGAGTTTCCGAGTTTGCTCGACATTGCGTCGGGTGTGAGCCCCGACAGTGACGACCAGCGTCGGGGGGCCACCAAGTACGAGTTGCATGCCGTGTTGGTCCATGCTGGCTACTCGACGGATTGTGGCCATTATTACGCGTTCGTGAAAGGAGCGTCTGGTCAGTGGTACGAAATGAACGACGACTCGGTGCGGTGGGTGAGTCTCGACACGGTGCTGCAGCAGAAGGCGTACATGTTGTTTTACTCGCGGGTGTTGCCCCCTTCTGAGCGCCCGGTACCACAAGCTGAACCCGCGACACCAAAAGTTGGAACGCTGAAACCAGAAGTTGGAAACGAGTTGAAACGAAAACCAGAAAAAGCGGTGCTGGACAAAGTGGCCGCCCCGTTGCAAAGTAAAGCGAAGGAGCTAGATATGAACAGTTTCCTTGCGAGTCTCAAGACAACGGTCAGTCAGGAGGTGGTGGAAGCTACGAAAGACGATGAACCTCTGGTTGTGGTTTCGGCAAAAGAGGCGAAACGGCATACGACGTTGGTGACGTATAAAGTCACAGCAAAGCCGGTGGGGCCTTCATCCATTGGCGGAGGTAGCCGTCAAGTGCTGCGATCGTTTGCATGCAACTTTGGTAGTCATGTTGGTCGACTGTACCGGTTCACGTCAGTGTTGAGGAAAACATATCCACGGCTGGTGATGACTCGGTCTGTGGCGGAAGTGCCACTTGAAAAGGCCGATGCTGAGGTGGTGCAGGGTTCAGGTACTGCGATTGGCACTCGTAAGACTTCAGTGCCATCATCAGGTGCTACGCGAGTGCCGTTTGACACGCAGCAGCTCAAGAAAGTGGGTGTGCGCAATGCATCGCTATTTGGTCGCGAGGTGGACAGGTGGACTGGGGACACGGACGTCGAGTCTTCCGAGACGACGAGCAGTAGTGACGCAGTGTCATGTGAGGTCATTGACAACGAGCTGCTCGCAAAGCACGACCGTGTGCTGAACACGCTGAAGCAAGAGGAGTGGAAGCATCGCAATGCTGGTCGTCAAGATCACTGGGATGAGACTCTGGATATGGGCAAGGTGAAGAGTGTCAAGAAGCGCAAGGAGTTTTTTCCGAACGAAGGCCGAAAGAATGTGTTCCAGAAGACTTTGATGCGGAAGACAAAAGACGCGAAGCGGCAGTGCATGGGCCGGATGGAGCGATGATCGCCTCGCAGTAGACACCAACTCAGTGGTGCATTAGATGCATGCTACATCATTTGTCAACAACCACGTGCTCAAAGAAATGATACGTACCAACTGTTTGACATGCGTCCGTCCATCCATGAACGATGTGCTTGCTGGCATCTCTCTTGCTCTTTGTACGGAGAAGAAAAAACACGAAACGTTTTCGTCGACAAAACAAGATGTGGTCTAGCGACTGCTTTTGCACCGAAAGATTGGGTCGGCATCATTCAAGGAAGACCTGCGCAATACAAAAAAGAAGAAGAACGGCTTAGTCGCAAACGTGCTGACGAGTTTCGCGACCAGTTGTCTGCCACATTCCGAATCTGCCCAAGCGATACTGACTCGTATGCCTGGCTGGCAACTGCGTGATGGTTGCAGTGGTAGGTTCCGTGTGTATGGCAAGCTGTATGGTTGCCGTACAGCAAAGTGCGTACAATGACATTGGAAAAGTCGACGCTGTCTTCGCCCGCAGCCCATTTTTGACGATGGTTGAGCGCTATACTATGCGTAATATCGTAACAACTCGACATGCGCAACTCCTGACTGCATTCACCATGCGACTGACCAGCCAGCTGGCTGCCTTTGCCGACTGTCGATAAGATCGTCGCGCGTTCGTGTTTGCTACTTGCACCACCGACACGAACAATGCTTTCGCACGGGATGTACTACATGTCAGCGTTATTCAACATATGTATCAGCCGAGTCTCCGAGACTGAGCTACCAACGAACGGTACCGACGCCAAGTGCAGACAAGTAGACTGGATATAGCAGCGCAAAGACTGCGGAGACGATACGAAGACCTCGGGCAACACGCACTGCTATGAAAGATGTCGATGCCGAAAAGTGCAGTACCGTATTCACCATGCAACGGTGCAGGTACATACTGTCTATGCTCTGCACCAAACGAGAGTCTACTACTGTCACTATGTAATAATCGATGGCTCGACGAGTTATCCACTCTCTTGTCATCTTGCACGACTATACATTATCTCGTGCGATCTAAACGTCGATGCACGACCTTCCGGTACCGCTTATGACGCGTAGTTTGATCTCTTGTATTGTACTGTAATCTGTATAATCACTGGCAGTGCCATCGTGGTCGAGAGAGACGAGCGAGAAGACTAAGTCGAGAGGAGGCAACAAGTAGCTGTACCGCAAGGGGTCCGAAAAGACGGGTGAACGGATCCAGGTGAGCGGTAGCGTGCACGTGATGCAACCAAGACGAGATTGCTTCAGGTCATCAACCAGTTCAAGCTGGTGAACACATGCGCTGGACCAAGCAGCACAATATATGAATCGATGACATGTCAAAGGACGGCGGAGTAGAAGTCGGTAGCCAACGCGCACTGTCAGAGAAGTGAGTATGGGATGAGATCACAATAGTAATCTGAAGAAGTAAAGAAGCTGTATAGTTATGTTGTGATTAGTATGGTGATATAGTTTGTCGTCAATTGTTATGTATTGTAACATTTTATCATCATCTTCGTCCGTGGTCCCATATAGTCTAGGTGGTTAGGATAGCTGGCTTTCACCCAGCAGACCCGGGTTCGAGTCCCGGTGTGGGAACCTTTTCGCCTTTTTTACAGCACTTTAAACTTTGTTCTTTCGGACACCGATGGCCGAGCGACCAAGACCCATCAAAAGTCGGGTTACCGACACCCTTCCCTGGGCGGAAAGCACCCTATAGTGGGGCCCAGTGTATATAGTAGGGTACAAGTGTAAGGGGGAGATCTCCTTGCTGCATGCACTAAGCAATTACGCCTAAAGAAGTACAAAGCGCCTGCGCGACGGCAAAGACACTTTACATATGGCGACATGCCGAGAGTTGTTGAGCATAGTTGACCATGGCGGTCACTCGCAACGGCCGTCATCAACCAGTGAGTTCAGGTGGAGAGGCTTTAGAAGACCGGTCACACGGTCTATAGCATCGCCGAATGTACTTGCGGGCGAACGCTCCGACACGCTGCTTCGAGCAAACGCTTTCCTTCCGCATCACGAGCTCGCTGTTTCTGTGGTGGACACGCCGAATTACAAGCACACGGAGAAAGTCTGGAGGGTCTGCAACGGTGTGTAATGTTGTGCTCCCCGTCAGTAAGAGACCGAAGTAGCTGTCTTCCAGACTTCACGCTTGTTTGCGTCTTGCTCTCCATGATGGCTCGCACTGCTGCTGGCAGCACGACGTTACGAGCTCAAAAGTTGTAGATATTCTGCAAGTGCCAACACGTTCTTCTTTGGCAGAAGCGTCTTTCGCACAAATCCAATGAGGGAAACTGCATCAGCTGTTAGTAGCTGTGAGCATGTAGATCCGTTTGCTTAATACGCATGACTTGTCCAGGCGTCTCACGCGACGGAATACACCGCCGCTTTCCACATTACTTGGTAGTATCGCAGATGATCTGGTCGTTGATCATCGTGATCGCTGCAATGGAAGTAGGAACAAATGAGAACAAGCGGAGCTGATGTTAGACACTGCTAACGTCGTCGTCTTCCCGACCACTTTCGTGGTACTGCGGCTCTTTTCATCACGCTCTACATGTAGCTTCCCGTAAGCACAAGAAGTTGGCATGTCGGGTCCCGGGAAGATGCATTACGGTACTTACGACACATGACTGTCTCGACGTCGCATGTAATCAATGTCGTTGCAGGTCAATTGCAGCATCTGGTGACGTACACAGCCCACGAAATCTGCACGGGACATCCCTACGGTAAAGCCATAGCTACGGAAGTCTTGCAGTGCATGTTACATCTTTTGCATAGTCACGTGACAGTGGGACTACCGTCGCGATACAAACGAATCGATAGGTGTACAAGTCCAGAGGTAACAGAGTCGTTGTTGACCCGGCGGTCACTTGGACTTTCGCTCATGTTTTGATAGGACAGCTTTTTGCTGCTGGCATGTCCTACCTAGCGCGAACGGATGGTCCGATCTGGGTCATGGCTAGATTTAGACACACGTCAAACTCACTCCTCACTCCACAGAAACTCGACAACGACAGGCGTACTTTACAAAGTTCGCAGCATCCGCCTCCCTCTTTCCATCCCGCAAGTGCTGTACAACTCCGCGTCGGCATTCCAAGACATGTTTTACATGGAAAGAGCTGACATCCACTGGACCATCTACAGAGATAGGAGGAGGAGGGCATCCGCGCAGCTCGAGCGCGAAAAGAGCGGAACGTGCGGGGACGGACACCCGCCCCCCCGTGGCCGCAATCGACGCGAATGTGCCAATCGGCGGTGCGATCAAAGAGGAACCCACACGTTCCCACCGCTGCTCTGGTCAGATGGGCATTCGCGACCTTCAACGTTTGCGCTCGCACGCGCGCGGACACATACACATACAGCCGCAAACTTCAAGGACGCACTCAAAATCTCGACAACGTCCTGTTTATGCAACTAACTCCCTCTCTCTCTTTCTCTCGACCGAACGACTCGAGACGACGCCCACTTGAGGCAGTCGTCACTCTCCTCCGCTGGTCGACTGGCACTGCGCAGAGCCGGTACATGGCCGCTACTACTGCCCGTCAGACGGTACGCGACTGCCTCCTTCGAGCGTGCTGCACGCGTGTACCGTATTGCAAAGCCCTTTCTTAGTAGTAAAAGTGAGGTATATTGAGGAACGATTGCAAAGCCCTTTCTTACCGGTCGCTCTCACACGACGAGCAATCACAGCAGCTCGTGCCACGTGATGGCAAACACGAGCGCCCTCCTACCGGCTGCGGAGATATGGTACGACGGGTCAGTATCGACTCGCAGTGCTACCGGCTGCAGGACCGATCGTGCCCGGGCACAACGCTACAACTGCGCTACGACGTCGCGACAGCGACTGGCTGCTGCCACACGAAGAACCTTCGCAGAATCTTCTTCGTGCGATGTCGCGTGACCGTAGCTACCGCCTGCATGCAATCAGTTCGTTGAGCTGTCAACTATGGACGAGCCAGGTGCATAGCCGCGCCAAGTGGTCAGGTATACGCGGCAGCCACGTGGAATACTACTGGCTCACTCGGGCGCTATGCAAACGTCCAGATGGCTCTTGTTCCGGCAATAGTGTATACTGCTGTCGGACCAAGCGCAGGAAGACGGTATCTAGCAGCTGGTACCGACCAGTGGCTGTTGACGCCTCACGCGATGCGTAGCGCCATCGCGACTTCATGTGGCTCGCGACTGGCGTTGGACAGCAGCGCGTCCTGATGCAAAACTCGCTGACTATGGGCTGCTGTGGTCCCGTTCGCGCTCGACTGTGTCTCTTTTGGAGCGAGAACGTGAACGTGAATGAGTGTGTGTGTGGGGGGTGGGGGAGAAAGAGAGAGAGGAAGGAGGAAGAGGCGCATCTATGGGTCATACAGGACACTCTTTGCATTACAATGTACTCGTTGTACTCGACTACTTTTCCTACGCCAACACACAGCACTCACACGGCACGCACACCCGACCTGCACAGCGGTCGGCCTCGCGATCGATCGCGCGCGCAGACGACAGACAGCTGCCATCTGCCTCTCGTCGTCCATACTCGACAAGGAGCTCGCTCGCTCGCTCGCTCGACTCACAGCCGCGGGTTGTCGTCCGTGGGCTCGCCATCGGTCAGCGACTCGCTCGCTGACAGCTCTGCTTCGTCCAGCCGTCCTCCTCGTGCTTCATGCGTCACGCGCATCGGTCTGCGTGTCGTTTGGTGGTGCGTCTTGATCGGAATGAGACTGAACTCGACGTTCGTCGCTTTGCCCGCGTCGTCCGTGACGACTGCCGCCACGAGCGTGACCGCCACGTCGCGCTCGCCATCCACGGACGTCTGGACCACCGTGCTGATCGACTGGTTGGTCTCGCACACGGTCTTCATGATGCTCTCGAGCTCGTCCTGGTCGGCACACAAGTACGGCCGCAGCGTCTGCTGCGTCTTGAGCGCCCCCTCTGACAGCCCCGTGTGCTTGACAAACGCCTTGTTGAACGTAATGGGCTGCAGCGACAGGTCCATGACAACGCGCGGCGTCGTCGACTTCTGGAACACGCCGTGCACGACTTTGTCGGCGCTGCAGACCGCGTGCTGCTGCGCTTGCGAGCGAAAGACCTCTGTCTGTTTCTCGGCGCGCTCGGCCTTTTGCTTGGCAATGAGCAAATTGCTGCGCAGCATCTCAATGTAATGTGCGGCGTTGTCGAGCACCGACTGCTTGTTCTTCTTGGTCTGCACGCCCGCCTCGTCCAGCATGTCCTTGAGCTGGTTGATGCGGTCGTTGAGCTTGAACATGCGCTTCTTCTCCTTGAGGTTCAGGTCCTCGCGCGAGCGCTTCGAGCCGCGATGGGACCGCACGCTCGACGGCGTCACGACCACGTTGCCGTTCGTGCTGTAGGCCTCGTAGTCGGACGACACGTGGAGCATGTGCGTGCCGAGCTGCGGCGGCGGGTAGTAGTGGCCGGACGGGCCCTGCACGTTCATCATCAGGGGCTCTGTCTCACTGAGCGCGTGCTGTTGCTGATGTTGATGTTGAGGTGTCATGGCGTGTTGTTGCTGATGTTGATGTTGATGTTGAGGTGTCATGGCGTGTTGTTGCGGCTGGGGGGTCATGACGTGGTGCGGGTGGCTCGACGTGTGGTGCAGGACCATGTGGCCGTACGAGTCGACGCCCGTCACGGGCGGCTGCATAAAGAGCTTGGGGCGCTCGCCGCTCTGGAGGTGGTGCAGCTCGTAGCCCATGGACGGCGACGGCGTGTACCCATAGTCGGACGTGGGCGCGAGCATAGCGACCGAGCGATGCGAAGCGAAGTGAGAAAGAGAGAGAGAGAGAGGCGCAAAGGTTTTGTGGGTGGGTGACGGTGTGTATACACGGGTGCTGGCTGTATACACGGGTACGTGCGGGTCGACGCTTTTGTGGCGAAAGGCCAAATGGGAAATGAGAATGCAGACGTCGAGCATGGCGAGCAGCTGGTTACAGACGGGACGAAGTGGGTGTGGTCCACGCGAGTTCGCTGGCTGCCGGTTGTGTGTGACCAGTGTAAAAAGCCCGGGCCTTTACGGGGACAGAGCCGCGACGACGCGGGGGAAGGGGCCACCAGCTGCAAAGTGGCACGGGATCGGACTGCGGCCGTAAAGGCCGTCGGGGACGCGCTCGGGGCGGATGGTTTCACCCCTTTTCTCGCGGACGGATTTTCTCGACCGCGACGACCAGAAACGACGGTGACGGCTTTGACGACGACTTTGGCGACAAAGACGTGACAGTGTTCCGGGGCAAAGAGGGGATGATGGAAAGGAGAGACGTGTGTTGACGCGGTCGTTGCAGGGCGTGTGTTTTTCACGAGCTATCGACCGCACGACAGACTGTGGAGCCGCAGCTCCTCCTGTGCGCGAGTTGTGTGTCGAACGAACGGCTCGACCAGAGGCTTTGACTGCGACTTGATGACAGTCATCCTGTGTTTCCCGGTGCAACGGTGTGCGACGCCCGTCGGAAGCAAGTACCTGCCTGATGGCCGAGAACTTGTCGCGACGTCGAGTCATCGCATCGAGGCGGAAGTGGTATTGGACGTGCGCGCGTGGGGTGTCCTCGTGCGCGTGTCCCACTCACGTGCGACTCGCCGTCGACTGGAACGGCTGCGGAAGAAGCACAGAACGTGGTGGTGGTGAACACCATCCCGTCGGTTCAGCGGATGAAGAAAAGTAGCTGCGCATGGTGGCCCGACTGCTAAAACAGAACCGATCGCGTAGTCCGTCGATGTCGTCGAGATCGCCAGCTCGACTGGGCTTCGGCTGTTCGTTCCTCATGGCCGGCACGAAAGTGTGTCCGGTAATCATCCTCAGTCTGCATTTCGTCCTGTTAGTTGTTGTTTGTGATGCTATCTGCATGGATACAGACAGCAAGGCACGAGCGGGAGCCACGCACTCGGGCCACTGCATCCCTTTGCATCGCCACCTCAAGAACGTGCACCATCGGTATCCAGTCGACGCGCCTGGCACGCTCGGCGATGCACGCAAATAAAAGTGACTGACGGGATTACTAGGCTTCGAAGTTCTTAGAAGCTAAGGCGTGAGCAGTGGCGACAAAGTCGCGGCACGACCACGGCGCTTGCCGACTGCTGCTCTTTCTTTTATGCACTTGCAAACCCTATTGCACCATTCGACCGCGGCCTCTTTCGTGCTGGCGTGCATGCGCTGGTTGCTATCGATGGACCACTTCACAATGTCCATCGGTGATGCAGCATTCCTCGTTGAAGTCTGACAGCCTCCGCTTCGATTTGCGCCGAGCCAATTTTTGTCACGTCAGGATGGCCGGTGCCCGTAGGGATCCTAGGCAAGCTCAGTTCTTCTTCCAGAGCCACTGCCCTATCTCGAGGCATGGATCGACGAGCCTCGGCTCTGCCCGAAGCAAACTTGACCATCGGTTCCTTCCTTGCACTTCGTGTGCACGTGAAGGAGCGATTCGATCTCGAAAGAATCCACTAGCACCCCTACTCATCCAGAGCAAAAGGATCCGCGGCGAGAGGGGAGTCCCCGCGAGTGCCGAAGTAGATCGGAGCGACCAATGTCGCAGCACTGGCGTGCCCGTGGTCGACGGTGTCCGTCCCCTTCTCTCCGCCCAATTACTCACGGACGTGCAGGCGATCGTTGCGGGCAGTGCGCTCTCTGATGTCGCTCCACGCCTGAAACGTCTGCCCGCAGCTCAGCGAAAGCGATTCATGCGTCAGTCGGCGTTGTGTAAACGGTCACGTTTCTGACCTCGCACGGGCAGCTGCTGGCAGACTGAAGATTCTCTCTCGTCACGATCGAACAGCATTGCACCACGAGTTTTTGTTTTTGTAGGTAGACCACGTCCTCGCAAGTCTAGAGAATGGGCTGGTTTGCTTGTCTAACATGAGCCTTAGACCAGGTCGCCCGTGAGTAAGCTCTTCGAAAAAGCGGTGGACATCCGTGCTCTCTACGACGACACCTAGAGCCATGCCAGCCAGCCAGCTAGGTAGGTAGGAAGGTAGGTAGGTAGGAAAAGGTAGAAAGATAGATCGATAGGTAGATGGATAGGTAGGTAGATAGATGGATAGGTAGGTAGACTAGATGGATAGATGGATAGATGGACCGATAAGTCTAACGAGCAAGCGCAATCGCTCCTGCCTCGTGTGTTCGACCGTGTGCAACTCGGATCGTCTCGGAAGGGGGTGGAGGGAGAGGTCGGCAGCTTGTGATGGCAACATCTTGCGACGACGACGAGGAGGAATTTCTTTCGCACAGCGAAAGCAGTGTTGGTCATGATGATACAAGGGACATGCACAAGGTGCTACGGGTGCGCACCGTCTGTTGAGTCCCGAGATGCGCTTGTATCACCAAAGAAATGTCTGTTTAGATGGACGACAACAATCGGCGATGGACGTGGCGGCGAACGCGATAAGCGAGACGAAGCAGAGCGATCGGTGTTCCGCGGCGTTCCGGACGGCACGGGATCGATCGATACGTTTCCAGCTCGGCACAGCATAGTGCGGAGGACCTCACGACCAGTCACGTGATCTCATTGCACCGTCAACCTGTCTCGTGTATCGTCTGGACGAGTCCGTTATGCTGCACGCACGTGGTAGCGAACCTGCAGCGTGACAGCCAACTGGCAGCCACCACCGTTCATTGTATCGAGACTGGGTCGGCTGCACTACTACTTCTGCCTGTTGTGGAGGGAATGAGGTGGAGACAGTCTGCCGATGGGGCGGTGACTCGATTGCAATCCCGACTCGGCGTCATGGTCACTGACAACGACGTGACTGGTCCTCGCGACGTGGCAGCAGCTACGGTCAAGAGAGTTGCTACGACAATCGCCTGGACGGATCGCGACAAAGACACTGTGTGTTCCTCCACCAAACGAGATGGACTCCTGCTGCTGCTGCTGGTGGTGGTGTTGCTACTACTGTGCACCGCTTGACTGCTGGTGGACAGCCCCAGAGTGATCCAGTGGAAACGGCTGTAATACACACGAGCTGCTCGAGTGGTGACGTCTCCATCCCAGTCGCCAATGACGACGCAGTCGAAAATGTATACGGGACGTCCCTGCGAAGCGACTGCAGGAAGGCCACGGCCAGATGGCGCGCTCCCTCGTCATGTGGTCCAGTGGTGTCGGGTACTGCGTGGCACCTGCCACTTTGTATGTCGACTGATCTACGACTGAGTGGTCAGACGGACAGCACAATGGCTGCCGCAACCAATCGCTCTCGACACGACGCCTGACGTCTCATCGCCCATCCGTAGCAAGTTTCCAGACCGAGCGAGCAAATGTCACGACTGCACTTGTCACGACTGCACTTGTCAAGACGCGAGCGACATGTACCGACTGCCTCACGTCGCGTCGTGCCGCAGCACAGTTTGAGGTTCATACTGACTGCCGAGCGCAACGTCGTGAAGCAAACTCGTTGCTCGCTTGCGTCGTGGCTGTGCGGGCCTTTTGGCGGCGCTACAAGCAGCTGAAGCCTCGCGAAAGGCTTTGGACATGCAGCGGGGCGACAAATGGGCTACCGACTGGAAAGGCGCGGGCAGCGATGCAGAGTCAAGACAAGGGGCGAGACAAGTGCTAGCGGTCGGGATGGGCTGAGCGTACGACTCTCGCTGACCACGTTGGCCAAGCGCTTCCGAAGGATTGGACGTCGATGTCGTCGATGTCGTCTTCGGCGTTTGATCAGTCGTGAAGCAGACAAGACGGCGTTGTGCTGCGTCGACGGAGAGCGGGCAGACCGACCTCGTCTGCCGTTCCGTGACAACTCCTCGACGCGTCGTGTCTGCTGCAGTCGTTCCACACTGCTCAGAGTCAGCGACTGAGTGCAGTTTGGCGCCATGTCGGACATGACGCTGTTGACACGAGGGGTGGGACCACAAGTTGGTGAGGGGGCCCACGTGTCGTCTGGTTCGAGGCTTTGGCTCCGCTCTCCAGTTCGACTGGGCCAGTAGCGACGTTAGTTGGTCGTCGCTCGTTGTTGTGCCGCAGCGTGGCTGACTTGCGGTGGGTATACATTTAACGGAGACTTACAAGGTGGTGGTGGTCTAGCAGAAACAAACGCGATGTACTCTGGTGCTCAATAGCCGCATTCTCATTTCCTTTGCTGCTTCGTTCTCTTCGCTTGCTCTCCGCAGTCCCAATATGACCCGTCGTGTTCGTACATCTAGCGACGCTAGAACCTACACTTGGGACATTATCGCAGACGGCAGCCACAGCTACACACACTGCAGCTGCAATCATGATTGCAACACGGCACAGGCAAATGAGTTGAGCTGTCGCCAGGTGTTGTCTCTGATACTCTGATTGCCAAAGAGTCCGTTGTGTTACTTCTTCCACGCAGGCGTAGTCATGTGGGCACCGCGACCTCGACCTGCAGTACCCGAAGCAGGCGATTGCTGGGAAGTGTCGAAAGACAGCTGCATCATCGGCTCTCCTGACGATCCGCCAAACTCCGTAAATTCTGCACCGGCGCTTGGCGGCGAGTGGATGCCATAGTTCTCTCCGTAAAACTCATTGACCAACGCGGCTGCCCACTGTGACAAGCGCTCGTCACCGCATTCAAATTGCACAGTCTCGAGTGCATCAATGCCCTCGTTCGTCTCGACCAGTAACGCCCCTCGAGGCGCCACGCGCAGCACGTTCTCGATAAAGCGTAGCGAGTTACCCACAACCGCAATGTCAGCAACAGTGAGGAGATGCAGAAAGCCCTTGACCACATCGAGGGCCAACACGTCGTCCAGATGTGCTGCACTGGTCAACGCAATGTTGGTAAGCGCAAATGCCACTTCGCGGCGCACGTCGTAGCCACCTTCTTTGAACTGCTGACCCAGCAGCGGGAGTACTTGGGCCTGCATCAGCCGGTCGACAATTGCCACCTCCGTTGCCGCCAAGTTCGAAATCACCCACGCTGCTTCTACCGCCAACGCTGTTTGCTGTGTGCCTGTTTGCTGCAGAAACTCGCACAGCTTTGGCACAAACGCCACAGACTCGGCACTCACCAACCGACGAACGTATGGCAGCTGCCACGCGTCCGTGTGGTGGTCCGCCGAGCCGCAGCAAACATTGCCAAACACACGTAGAATTGGCGTCAACAGGACGTGGTCGGTTGTCGAAAAGTACGGCAACAAAACGTCCACGAGCCCGGCGTCCAGCATCAGCCGTAGACACTCTTCTTCCCGTGCCGTCAAGAAGCTCAAGAGCCACGCGACTTCCACCACAATGTCGTCACTGAACAAAGCCCCTGCACGAGGCCGGGCGAGTCCCTGGACCACGACGGGAATGATTCCTGCGTCCACAAAAGGTTTCGCTCGGGTCTCAAACCCACGAGCTAAATTCGACAAGGCCCAGGCACTTGTTTTCGCCACTTCGGCTGCTGCTTCGGTCTCGCCAAAAGTGCCCAATCGCTGGACAAGAGGCACGACCACTCCATTGGCAATGAGGTGCTGGCGAAACTCATTGCAGTCCGCGGCAATGTTCCCCAGCGTCCAGGCGGCATGTCCAGCCAACAACTGACTCGACGACTCCAGCAGCTCCACCAATCGAGGGACAGCTGGCACCACGAGTTTCGTGTGTTCGTAACTGCCGCTCGCGATGTTTGTTAAGCACCACAACACCTCTCGATACACTTCTTCGGCCAACCGCGAGGCACTATGGAGAGGTGCTGCCGAGTCCAGTAGTGCCACTAGAATAGGTACAATCTGGCCCACGTAATCAGAAATCGACAACCCGACACAGGCAACAGCAACACCACATCAACAATACATACATAAGTCAACAAGACCGCTTTTGTCAGTACTCGGTCTTCCGGGTGCTGCCGTCTGTCTGCTCATTGGCTCAAGCAGGACACAACATGGCTACAGTCGACCGACCCTACCGCCCATCGTCGTCCACCAATACGTACCCCTAACGCAATCAGCTGCTCTATTTCCTCGAACTCGTCCTCTCGCGTCTCCTGTGCGCCCGCCAGCACCAGTCGAATCTCCCGAAGCGCCTCAACACGCGCCTCAATCGGTAGTACACCCGACGCGCTATTGTCGTCTCCGCCGCCGCGCAGGCACTCGACCAGCGCGGAAAGACTGCGGCCGCTACGTGGCACCGGGCGGGCGGTCGACACGGGACGCCGCCGTTTGGTCTGCACGGCGCTGTGGCGCTTGTCCTTGCGCACCTGGTCGAGTGCGCGCTGGCGCCTCATCTTGCGCGTGTGCGACTCGGCGGTCGCGTCGTGCTGCTTGAGCGAGCGGCGAGGCGGCATGGGCTCGAGAAATAGCGCTCGAGCGAGCTGACGTAAAGGCAGGTAGGGGGCAATAACGCATGTGATAGAGTGCGGGAATCAGACACACGAATAAAAGTCGACGTTGAATCAGTTGGGAGCTGATTGTGTTAGGAATAGATAAGGTGATATGACGTTTGCTCTGATACCTGTTTGCACGAATGTCGGTATTTGTGCACTTTTGATGCGTACCCTTTTGCTCGAAACCCATCATGTACATGGCCTCAACTGCAACACGTCCTATGCTCTGGCATATAAATAACCCATTCGAACAGAGTGGGTGACACGTGTGAATTCATGGTCTTTTGACGGAGAATGGGTGAAACGAATGACAACACTGCGCTTCTCACGTGCTGCCGTAAGTCTCCTCGAGCTCCACGCTCACGTCCAAATTCTGGACGACAATCAGTGCGTACTCCTTATCTATACCAATGGCAACAGCAATCGCAAGGGCCATCACCAAAGCAGCGTCAACAACAGCCATCAAGCCACACGTTAGTTCAATAGCGAAACACTACGGCTCTCTCTCTCCAAGTGCACGTCGGACGCACCAGGTGCGATCAGAATCTCGTGCTTCTTGGAGCGAACGCGCAGGAACGTCATGTCGCTCGTCGGGTCGAGACTGCGGATCGTGGCGTTGGCCTTCGCTGCTAATTGGGCGACGAGCGACGCGTGGTCGGCGGCAAAAGCTGCGTCGCTCGGGCTCGAGTAAATGGGTACACCCTCCGCATTCACAATGAACACGGCCTGCACGCCCTTGTGGCTTCGGATGCGCTGAATGGTCTCCTCAACGTCATCAGTTGCCTACTTGCACGTCACAGTAGCAGCAGCATAAGGAGTCAGTCGCAACAGAAGGGGAGCGCTTCCTATCCATCGCCCGAGTATGATGCACGTCGAACGGGGGGTACCATTGTGGGCGTAACTGAATATGACGTTGATCAGTTGGTCGGGTCGAATCGGGCCGGACGCAGTTTTGTACCGGTAGCATGTGATCAGAGGTTGCAGCTACTGGATGTTGCACGAATGCGGCGGCGCACGAGGGAACTGGTACGCGTCAGTAATATCGATTTGGCTTGAGGTATGGACCAGCAGATGTGTTACCGAAACGCCCCTGCCGTTGTGGCTCGCAACTTATACACGTGCTTGGGATGGCAAGCATTGTTTGGTTCCAGCCGGTATTACTTGCCGACTGCCAGATACCGCCAGCTGCACGGATCCTGCCTGGACCCAACAAATCGGTACACGATCGACAAAGAGGCAAGTCGGTAATATCACCTGCTGCGTCCGAGCAATGTGTCCCGAATGGCGGTATTTCGCATCCCGCATTTGCGAAATGTAACAACGCCCGGGACGAGATCAACATCAATACAGTGCCGAACGGCGCGAGACGAGGAGATACTGCTGCCTAAAACTTACATGGTGTACAATATCCATCGTCCCAAACAATTTACTTGTCAAACGCCTTCCAGTAGCATGACATGACACCTTGTGCACGTGTGATGGACATGATATACAATCATGCAACACTTCAGCTTGCTCCTTTATGTTCTCAGCTGCTGGAACGTACGTAGTAAGGAGACGAGAGCATGTTTGTGGTCCCACTTTGCGCAGAAGTGTCCGTTCGATCTCTTGGTCGACTTTGAGTCTCTTTTTGTAGGCACAGGCACCGCAATGCAACACACTCGACTTCCGACGCACCTTCTGGCTGCAATGCACTAGCATACGTCTGCGGTGCTCTCGTCTTCTTGCCAACCCTCGTGGCGGACTGCCAAAGCGTTATGCGGACCAGGTACGACCGTGTCAAGTACTACATTCTCTATCAACTGTTTTGACATTGCAACAGTCAGCTACACCGGCCTTTGCATTGCAATAAACGTCGGTCATATAGTGCGACCCATTGTGACACCAAATCGTATCGGACGTGGAAGTTGTCTGATCCTACGCAAAGGTGAAGCTTAGGGATTATTGCAACGTCCTGTGGACGACTTTAGCCGTGCCACTTTGTGACGCCAACTCCTGCAGAAAGACTAAGAATATTGATAGTTCGTTGTCGTCGTAGCCAGAGGGAGGCGGTCTAACTCTGCGTCCAACCGCAACGTCGTACCACAGAGGTCCACATGGCGCGACAGGGATCAGGGAAACGCCATTGACAAGATCGGGTGTAGGCTGGAAGCTGTCCACTCCACCACGAGGTGTTACGTCGATCAATTATTTTGAGGTACACTACAGTCATTTAGTAGATCTAATGACTCGCCGATGTTCTGCTGCAAGGGGCCTACAGATCCCGCAGCAGCTTCCTAACAACACGTGGAGCCCGCGTAAGTTGTAGAAGAGTGCCGTGCGTAATCTGACCAGCAGATGACTGGATTTTGCGTAAGTCTTCGTGGTGGTATTGCAGCATACGAAGCGCTGACCATCCAGTGTATGCGTGGTAGTAGTTCCGTCGAAAGATAGCACGGGCCGTAATTTGTCGCAAAAAAACGAACTATGGCTCGCAAAGGGCGCACGACGCGTGGTCTCGTGAGTGCCGTGAACGCCAAATTGACAACTTGATGTATGGCTTGGGAGTGCGTGTCGATGTCTGTTGCTTTGTTGTGTAGTGGTGGCAATCCCTTCGTGGGCCTCCCTTCTAGCAACACTGCAGTAGGATATCTTGTGTTTTCCAAATGAGGAGATACGCGCCTGCATCTTCTTTTCCACATCGGTTGGAAATCCTGGAGTAGCCCAAGCCTCCAGTGTTGTAGGAGGACGTCATACACGGTGCGAGCGACGAGAATCGCCTCGGACAAGGAAAGTGTGTGACAGAGCTCATTTATGAGGGACCGAAGTCAAAATTAACCCGAGAATGGGACGTGCTAAGGCACTCGACTCGTCGAGCCCCATCATTTTCCACGGACGGAGGAAGACGTCCCATAAAATCGAGGTTTCTGTACACGTCCAATGTATAGGATCCGTGCCCTGATGATCCCTATGCGGTTTGGACATGGACACCTCGGGCGTTGATTGACCACGTCCCAGTTCGCAAAAGCCCTTGGCCTGATCACACCAATCCATTACCCCGTGATCAACCATAGTCCAATCCTTCTGAGCAAGATCCCCGACCTCGATCAGCTGCTTTTTCTGAGTTGCTGTTTGTTTGTGTCAGTAAGAGATATCGAGCCTAGTGCACGTGAAAGCGAGTGTGTCTCCCATGGAAGGATCGGCCGCTTCGTGATACTTTCATCATACCATCTTATCCATACTACCTGTCTCCGCTGTGCTCGAGGGTGTCGCAGTGACATACGTCAACCTCAGTAGACCGCTATCGTTGCCAGTGAACCAGTATTGGCAGATCCTCTGTGCAATCTGAGCGTACATTATGGGTACCAAGTGCATTTAGCCTTCGTCACAACAAGACCAATGTCTCCTCACGCACGCTGGCTAGAGGGGCGCACATTAGGCTGCTTTACATGATTGCCGGCGACGCTTGCCACTTTACCCGAGCTCTTTGCGACAATCAGGGCATTTATGATGCCTATTTTCGTACACTTGTAACAGGACGACGCGCGGCTCTCTGACTGCTGAGGCTTGGAGTACATGTGCCTCCTGCCTGATGCCAGATGATGGAGACAGAGTACGATGTTCCTCGCAACGTCTTCATTGGCTATCGCATACAGATTTATGGGTCGACATGAATATGGTTCAATCGACTTGGCTTGTCAAGGAAGATCCTGACTTTTCCGGGTACCCACCTGATCATGAGAAACGTAGAGCGGTCATGCTTAGACTGGCCTCTGAATAACCCCGTGTCCTTAAGATTGGGGGAAGGCTCGGTAACGCGTACAGCGACGTAATTACAGCAGCGCTTTTGCAGCGCTGGATGACGCTCTTCCTCTTGTTGTACAACCTGCCCGAAGCGGTTTACAACGGGCGAACCGCGCAGATCAAATGAGTTATGTGCCTCTTGGCGCCGAGTGTCCAATAACGGTGTGCAAGTTTTGGTCTTCTGTCGCACAGAAACGTAAAGTATGACGGATAGTAGTGCTGGTGCGCAACAACACTTCACGCAGCACGGATGGATGATAGCGTATCAGTCTCGTGCTCCGTCTCATCAATGCCATCACCGCAGCCCATAATGCAGTCTACTCTTCCCTTCGTCGCGTCGATATACACTCTTTTTGTTTCGACGTGGCTCCAGCAGCACGTGCTGCAGCAAGCAATGTCCATAGGTTATAAGCAGCCGATGTTACCGGCCGGATGGACGTCAACCTCATGGATGCTCACTCAACGATCAATCTCTTCGCATCTCGATTTGTAAAAGTGCGCGCTGGGAAAGCGAGCGCCAGGAGGCAGTGTGAAAGCATGAGCAATGGCTGATAGTGTAAACGCACGCGCAAATTTATACGAATGCGGTTCGTATCGAGCGTTTGTGTGACGAATATGAGTATGATGCCACGGTAGAGCGTCAAACAAAAGGTCGAAGTTGGCTACGCCAGGTAATGCTACACGACGGGTGCCGACATGATCTTGCCGTCCTCGTCTTCTGCTTTGATGGACAAATCAGGCTTAACAAGCCAACAAGCCAACACTTATACACATTTCCTTTGCTGTATAAACGTCCCGTTACGCCTGCAACACGAAACAAAATTGCCTTCGAAGGATATCATGTTACCAATGCTAGAGACTTTCTTGCTGGACTGCAGCTTACGCAATACCTAGATGGACAATGCCTCCGATCCCACAGCACTCAATGCTCGTATCGATGGTGCTACATAGTTCGAGCGCTCGAACGCCTTCCGTGCTGCTCATTTCTTATCGAAGAATCTGCTGGCAAACGTTGATGCGCTTCTTCGACCGATGAGTCCAACTGAGCATCGCTAACAAGTCGCGCGTTCATCGTCGCTGTATATTCCCGAGACGACCGATGCTTTCTCGAACGAAACATGTCAAGAACGTTGGTCCGCTCGTTCATAAACACTCGGTTCGTTCACGATAGGACCACGCATTTTGCCCAGGCCCGGGGCGCACGCCCAAGTAGTGTCGTCTTCGTACCCGGGCACAACCATTACGCAAGAACATGTCGCTCACGTGGGACGATACGGTGACTGGTCAATGCAGACGACCACGACGAGCTCGTGCGTATATACTGTACTTGATACCGGATGCAGTGAAAGAGCAGTTTAAGCGACACAAGGCCAAGGAGAAAATTGACGTGCTGCGCCGCTACTACTTACAAGACGGAGACAGTCGGCACTTACGCGATGGACAAGAAGCGTCGCGGAAGGTAGAGTGGATGACTGTCGTGCGCAAATGGATGTTATACGTGTCGTCGACTATTTGTTGTACGTGTTCGTGTTGTGGTTGTTCTGTCGAATCGTTTTGTTCGTTGTGTTTGTGCTGTACTGTGTGACACGTCCTGTTTGCGTCGCGCTGAATCTCCACATGGTCGACGTGGGTTGCAGTCTCGCGCACGTTCGCAGAGAGAGAGAGAGAGAGAGAGAGAGAGAGAGAGAGAGAGAGAGAGAGAGAGAGAGAGAGAGAGAGAGAGAGAGAGAGAGAGAGAGGGGGGGGGAGGTGTGGCGTCCTCGTACTCAACAGAGAAGTAGGTTGTTGCACGTGGGTCGGACATGTGACGACGAGTTTTTCTTTTCTGAGTCGAGAGAACTCGGTCTAGACTGGGAAGGGAGAACAGGACGTAGCGCTTGCGAGATAAATCTACATTTGATTTTCATTTACAACAGGCGTGGACGATGTCGCGATCGAAGACGTGGCAGAACGGTTGGAGGAGGAGGTTCATGATCGTCTCATTGCATGTTAAGATGCGCGAGATGTCTGAAGCTTTCTCAGCCAGGAAGTAGGTGCCAAGTGTGGCTACTTACTTGGCGTGGCTGAATCTCGTAGAAGCCGGGTGCTCATGTAGATCTTGAAGTGACAATGCGAGACAGGGCATGCAGACGAGGCCCACTTACCGCCGCACTGTGGAGCGATGTTCGCGTACCGCGACAGCTGCCGCAGACTGATTTTCCAGAAGGCAGAAGCGCTCATGATGGAAGAAGAGAGCGCACCACCGCATACCGCCGCCTTCGCTCCGCCCACAGGCGCACTCGACAAACGGAACATAGTACGAACCAAATGCGTTGAGATCCAGCGTCGGCGGCATTGACGTCAGCTCGATAACGATTTGCAAACGCGTTCGCAGTCGGTGTGGTGGTGGTCGAGCTTGGCGATGTACGCAGAACAGGAAGTGATTTGACACCACGAAGCCCTTTCGCTCCTTCACCCGTCCAGTGTCATATCACCAGGCGCCAACATGATCGTGCGTGTTGGACATTCCCGGACAACATGGGCTAACGTCTCTCTACACCCCCTTGTGGGCCGCGGCCCCCCGGGCGGGGCCCCCCCTTGTATCGTGATAGTTTTCTGCAACTTTTGTCGGCCGAGCGGTCGGAATGGTATGGAATGACCTGCGTCGTCGCAATCCAATCACATGCCCACCACTGGTGCTCAGTGAGACCATTCGCGCGACCCCAGACTTGGAAAGGGCGTTCACGTGCTGCCGTAGCAGCCATCGATCCGTCAGCGTCATTTGCATGAAGCGGACAAGCCACGTACGTAGTGCAGCAGGTCGAAGCAGACGTTCATGATGATCGAATGCCTGCCACACAGTCGCTTTCCAAATCCGGGCGTTGTCCACTGTCTCCAGTCCTCCACGGAAAAATGAGTGGAGGAGACGATGTGCGAGAACAATGTCTACCCATGGGAAGGCTGAAGTCTTTAGTAGCTTGAAGCGTTCGTGATCGAGCCCGGTAACTCCAGCAAATCGCCCTGTCGATACCAACGCAGTCCGTCAGTGCGCGGTAGCAGCCTAAGTGCAGACGCCCTAGGTCATATTCGACAGAATGCCTACATGTCTGCGGTCATGAAGTCCATCGCAGACGTAGTCAGTAGGTAAGAGTGAAGGTTGCGCCAGTTTCAGGATGCGGCGCGCGGTTGCATACGGAATGAGCGCTAGAAGGGATCAGATGCAAGTCGCCGGATTTGAAACAAGACCGAATGTTACAGTGCGGTGCAGTCGTGCGATCGGTAGGAGCGCGAACAGCTCATATATCACTGATGGCTCATCCTGTCGTACCTCCTGCTTGTGAAGCGATCGTGTCTTTGGTTGGATAGGCAGCGTGCTGCCTCTCCGTGGATGTTCGTTGATCGTCAAAGAACTTGCCACTGCGATTCGTGGTCAGCAATGACCCTCGCTTGTGAAGGAAGAAGAAGACTCGCTGCGTCGGCATCTTGCTGACGCGCGAGTTCTGCGTGTCGTACGCCACGATGTCGACTCACCGCCATTGATGGGATCAATGACGACCTGTTTGCCCAGCTCGGGATCTCAGCCCTGCCGAACGCTGATCTTCTTTTGGCCGCAGTGACGATTAGTCTATCGCTTCTGATACAAATCGTTGTCTGCAAAGCCGACACGCCACTAGCGCTGACCTCATGTGTTGCATGGCAAGACGTGCTGAGCAACGTCCGTGCGAAAGACCCTGTACTTCTCAGCCTGATCCCCATTTGCTTCGGCTCTGTACCCACTTGGCCAGACGCAGCATCACGGTTCTGAACTCCATGGAAGTCATGAATATCCAGAGAATCGGCACAAGTTGCACTTGACACAAAAGTCTTGAGGATGCGCGACGCGTCACAATCGGTAGTGCATCGCATTGTGACTCTTTGGGCGAGTCAACCGTAGCACGGAAGCGTTGCATGAACTCATAGCATCATCCTGTATGGGCTTTCAACGACTTGGTATGTCACGTGAATACAGGAACGACAAGCTGCGTTGTGATGGCGCTGCTGTTGTATATAGTCACGCCGATGCGGGGAGCTGCATATGAGCAACGACTGCACAGCGCTCTTGCTGCATCTTCGCACCCATGGCCTCATCCGCCCATTCAATAATCTATGCGCCACGACCCATTTTTGTTCCTGGCTCTGCCATCCAGTCTGGACGTCACTTGGTGACGAGCTGTCTTCGCCTCTGCTTTGCCCTCTCTTGGGTGACCGGTATCGGTGGTGGTGTTCTGTTTGTCCATTCTCCCTTTTGCGTCGCATCGCCAAGTATCCCATCTACACCTCTGTCGAAGTCAAACCATGAGACTCGCCTACCTCTTTGTTCTCTCTATGAGTGTTTTGCCATTCGTGATTGCTGAACTCGCCTCGATCTCCACCAAACGAAACAACACGGTTTCTGGCACTTATGAACTCGATCACGAACCGGCCAAGAAACAGGAGGGTGGTCGCTCTTCCGACATGAAAGCACTGGAAGATCGGACGCTGAAAACCATTCCTCACGAGGCCGCCAGTTTGATTGAGACAGGCCTGACTGGCCTATGTAATCGGCTCATGAGGTTCTTCAAGCAAGGCATGGAGCTCAACCGAGGCCATCTGATCAAGGAAATCAAACTCCGTCGAAGCACTTTGCAAGCTTTTGCGCAGCTGGGCGAGGTTCACATTCACAAAGAGTTCGACTTTCACCGCAAGCAACTGGCCTTCGCGTTCTTTTCAATTCCCGATATTGAAATTGAGGCGAAGAGAATCACCGCCGAGACGCCGGACCTTGACCCGTACAGTGTGATGTATGAACATCTCGTGGAGAACATGAACGAGAACGATTTGGCCGTCCTCATTATGGTGGGAAAGGAGATCAAAGGGGCAAGCGTTAACGCAAAACTGTTCGAAAAAGCGCAGTTTGACTCGTGGGTTGAGAACCATGTCCTCGTGAAATCGTTGGAACCGGCGCTGCTGGCTCATCCTGGCTACACGCTCCCCCGAGAAAGCGAAGCAAAACGCATTGCAGACGACTACAAAAGGTACGTTTCGGCGCTGCCCGGTGATTTGAAATGACACATGAGTCGCTTCGCAGTAGTTTCACGGTCTGCCATAATTGCCATTTTGCTTGACAAGCTCTAACTGCTATAAATGAACGCTCGGTTGAAAATGTAAGCCGTGTCAAGGTGTGTAATGAATTTGAGTCGGTATGGCGTTGTTTTCTGCGCTGTCTTCGCAAGCTCTAGTGGTAGGTGGACCACATTGACGTCTCTCGCGCATCTGATGAAGAGCTTCGGTCAATGTCTTTGTCCGTTACTGGCGTGTGGTCGCGGAATAGTGTCAACCTGCGCAGGACGTTTGTGGGTTTTGCGTCGCTTCGTGTGAGGTTACGTTTAATGGTTCCATGATCGATTACGTCGTGAATGAGAGCTACTTGCCGGGCGTGTTTGGTGCCTACAGGGGACTTCAACACGGCGGATCACGTGAAAGGTCGCAGATCACGTGCTGACAGGCCGTGTCGGTACTCGAGCTAGACCATGTCATAGTCGGACCTTTGGATAATAGATAAAGACGAACATGCAGTATAGAGTGGTAGCATTCAATCTTTTGAACCACCGGCCAAGACTGGTGGGCTCAAAATGTCGGTCCCATATAACGGCCTTACGATATGTGTTGGAGGTATGTAGATCCCTTTCTGATATGCCCTTGTGTCAGAACTCACTAGGATGCACCTTTCAACACGCCTGCCTACGATAGCTCTTCGGTCTGTTTTTTTCATCTTCAGCTCTCGGTACTTGTACCGTGACCCGTTTCTTCGACGAAGCTTTTCCGACATACCCCTCCTGTAACGGGGTGAGCCCGTTTTATAGAAATTGACATCTTTGTACCAATTATTGAACATTATCTATTCAGATAACATTTAATTGACTTTACTCGTAAGGAGTAAGGTTGAAGAAATACTACCCCCGAGGGTAATATAACTTTGATGGGTTGCTCCACCTGATGGTTGATGTTCACGGTACATCAACCAGATTCACCACCAATCACTGCTGGACGCGTGCAATGGGTAATGAGCAACAAACCCACATAGTGTAACGGGGCACACCCTTGCGTTAAGTTCACGCAAGGGTATCGGTGCCCCCACAGACGTACACAAGGCAAGCGAGGAAGCGTAGATAAGGGAAAAGCAGAACTGTTGTATTAATATGATTGATTCTTATATCCACTGTCTCTCTGTTTGACTTAACTTAACTATGTTAATATAACTGAATGTATGACGACGTCTACTCACCACTCATTGCGCGCGTCTTGCGGCGATTGGTGGGTTGATATCATCAAGATATCAACCAATGAACAGACTCTTTGGTCGACCCATCAATATCACCACTTTGGTGATATTGTTAAAAGAATAAATGACTTAATATTTTTTATTGTCATTATCTCTCAAAAGACAATTTCCATGTAACGGGCTGCCCCGTTTCATCACCCCCCTTAACCGATAGTCACTGTGTGACTATCGGAAATATGGCGGCCACCCGTTGGCCACCATTGGGACAGGGAGCACTTGTTGGGTCAGTTCCGTTCGTAACTCGACCTGACCTCGCATAGTTAACATGTCTATGCGGGGTGACTCAAGGCACACAGAGTCTGTGCCTATGCTAGCTTCTGCGGCAGACGATTCGTCGTCTGCTGCTCGTTATTCGCCTGCAGCAACAGGTGCTGCAGGTGCACGCGGCACAGCAACGCGTGCGCATGATGACCCCGACATTGAAGTCATCTACTCTGGCGAGTCAGACGTGTCTGACTCGGGCAATGCTCCAGAGGCGTCTCGCTCACCGGCGACGCCTCAGTATTTACCAAGGCCACTGCCGAACGAACGGACTCGTGAGTTGCAACACAGTCTTTTCGGCAGTGATGATGAATCTGATGACGAGTATGTTTTCTCATCACCGAGATCAGCTCGTGATCCTTCGCACGAGCGACTTGACGATGGTGCAAGCCATCGTCATACTGACAACCGTGGTACCGACAAGGGTACCACTGTGAAGCGTGATGAGCTGAAGCCGTGGCGTTCGCCTGAATGGCTCATCAATGGCTTGTCTTCACGAGACAAGCCAACACCATCGAATAACCTTATTCGATGCGACTGAGCTTCACGGCTTGGATCCCAGCGCGAGCAACTTTCGCGCTGAAGAAGACTTTTATATCGATGTCTTCCTTAGACATCGATGGTATAACGGCAACCAAAAGCGTGACAAATCCTCGCTTTTGGCTGCGTGGAACGCGTTCGTCCAAAACGTAAAGAGTTTTGGACGAGAAGGGTGGCTCAAGAAACTTGAGGCGACACGCCTCAGGTTCGAAAAGCGAACGCTAACCGGTGCCAGGTACCGGTTGCATCGTTTATCAAGTGAGGCTGGAATTCCATGCCTCATTGGGGAGACCCTTGTGCGAATTGTGTTGACAACTCGCAGCGTGCGCAGAGGGATGTTAATTCCCTAGATTCGCCCTGGGGAAGGGCACACATCTCGGCTGAGAGGCGTGACGCGATTGCAAACTTGCAATCCGTCTACAAGCGCCAAAAGCGCGTGTTTACCGATGGGCCCGAGGACTCATCGGATGGGTCTCGTCATACTGGTGGACGAGACCTTCAACATCCATCAACAGCTGAGAGCGGGGCTCCCAGCTGTTCCAAGAGGGTGGATACCCCCGCCACTGGACGAGGTAGATCGTCCTTGATCCTGAATCGTCACGGTGATTCAAGATACGCTCCACTAGAAAACATTGACCACCGTGAGCATCCACCAAAGGATGTGGTGGAGGAGGAAAGACCTCCTCCAGATGACTCGGTTCACCATCTCGACCCTTACGAGATGGATCGCGCAATCGATGAATTGCGCGATGACTTGAAGCACGAGCGCGACCGGCGCTACGCTTTGACTGATACCGTGCGGACGAACCGCAAGGATCGCGAGGCTGATCGGGCGAGAGATCGCACCGATTATGCCACAGCGCAGCTTCAGGTCGAGCGGGATGTCCGCTTCCTATTCGGCGAGCTGGCGACAGCTCGCGGGGAGATATCTCGGTTGAGTTCCAAGGTATCATATCTGCGCGACCAGACGGATCGTCTGGAGCGCGAACGCAAGAACTTGATGGATGTTCTTGAACGTGGGGGCTATCTTCATCGGAAGAAGAAGGCTCGTACTGACAGTACGGCCTGAGTCGCCCCACGTAAAACTTAGGATGCGCACGCATCCTACGTGGCGATTCGATCGTGTATGCATTGACCTTGCCATGCAACACTCGAAATGGCCCAATGTACTTCGGCAGTAGTTTACTACTGCCGACACTAGTGACTGCATGTCCAGGTAAGTTTACCGTAGACAGTAGTACTAGGTCGTTAACTTTAAATGAAAGAACATTTGCTCTTCCATTCTTGTCTGCGTTCCGTTTCTGGCGGTCCACCGCATTTGCGATGGAGTCCTGAACAAAACGGACTACCGCCTCTCGAGTCAGCAGGAAGTTCTCTGCTGACTCGTTGTTGTGTCTTTCAGTGCGCTTCGTGCGCACTGCTAAGAGATTGTTCTCTTCTTCAGCGAGGTTGTCTTCTTCCTCGCTGGAATAATCGTTGACGATGCTGAATATACCAGCATCGTCATCATCATCCGAGTCAGTAATAGCGTTGTCGCTATTATTGAGGTGATCTTCTTCATCGATGTCGACTTGATCGACATCCGCATCTTACGTATCGGCGTGAGCGATGATACGTGATGAGCAAGATCCAAAACAGTTTTTGCTCGAGCGAGTCCCTCCCCCCTTATCCAAGAGTCACACTCTAGAAGGGCGGGAACACGTGGATGGCGTAAGCCATTCACGTAAATGGTGTGTGCTGGGTGGCAGCATGCACCGAATTATTGATGGCGAATTCCACCATTGGAAGTAATTCGCTCCAACTCGGAAACGAGTGGACATATCCTCGAAGGATCTCTTCGAGGACACGGTTAGCACGTTCCGTCCGACCATCTGTTTCCGGATAGTCAGAAGTAGAGATCTTCAATCGTGTTCCAAGAGAGCGGAACACGATTTTCCAAAACTCCACCGAGAACCGAGGGTCATGGTCGGATACGAATTCACGGGGTAGCCCATGAAGTCGAAACACTGTGTAGAAAAAGACGCGCGGACATCAGAGAGAATTAATCGCCTCTGGAACTGCAGCAAGATGAAACATCTTGCTGAACCGATCACGAAACACAAGAATACCATTATTCTTGTGAGCGTCTTCGTAAAAACCAAAGACGAAGTCCATTAAAACGGACTGCCAGCACTCTGTCGGGACCGGTAGAAGCTGTAACGGTGCACGGGATGAAGGAATAGGCTTCACCCGTTGACAAACCTCGCAAGCACGTATGTACTTGCGGACAAACTTTTACTGGCGTGGCCAGTAAAAGTCACGACTTACCGTGAGGTAAGTCTTTTCTCTTCCACGATGGTCGCCATTCGAGGCATCGTGATACTCATACATGATGCGTAAACGCAGATCATGATGAGCCGGTACGACGACACGAGGCGATTCGTCGGCAACAGCTGCATAGTGCAGCAAATACGTTGCGAGTTGTGTACCAATCCGAAGAGGATCGGTAAAAAGCAGGTAAAAAAATATGAGGATTTACGAGATAGATTTTCCAGATGGTGCATCATGCGCGAAAGATTCTTATCTTCTGCGTAGGCTTTCCTCACGTATTCAAGTAATGTTGACGACGGGATTTTGACCGTAAGTGCCGCAACAGTGGGCTAATCCCCACTGTTGGATTGTGCGTCCGGCTCAAAATCGGTACGCCGCGAGAGCGCATCAGCGACGACATTGAGTTGTCCTAATTTATACTCCACGGAGAAGTTATACTCCGCGAAGAAAGACAGCCACCTCGCCATCCTTTGCGAGAGGTGTGGGCTGTTTACGGCCGTGCGTAGTGACGCATGGTCCTTATAGACGATAAAAGGTCTATCTCCCAATAGATAGACCCGAAACTTAGCCAGTGCGTACTTCATGGCAAGGAGTTCCTTGTCATGCACTGGGTAAT